CCCCCTTGAAATGTATTAACACTGGTAGAGCAAAGTGTAATTTGGAGAAACAATTTCAGAACTTCTGAAAGAGAAGCATCTTGGAGGTAGATACGAAGTCATGTTTTCCAGCTGATCCACTGTGACAGGTCTTTAGTTGAACAAGAGTTCCTGTACACTGAATTCATGCAGAATGGTAAATTTTCTGTACTCATCATTGTATAATAAATCCACAGCTGGAAACAGAATTTAAGACATGGGGAATAAAGAAGCTTCATGAGTTGTAGCTTCAAAACAGAAAATCTAAAGCCAAATGGTATTCTTGAAATTTGTAGTACCCAGTCATGATTCTAGGTAATTTGGCTAATTCCGGGAACGGTATCAAGTAAGGCAGTGCACGTAGTAACCTGAGTGTCAGAAGAGAGTTCACGAGGGTGGAATTTCCACCTTAATTTAAAAGAGATTTTCAATTTTACCTTTTAAGTCGAGACAATAACCGGTCGCAGCCGCATTTGCTGGGTCTGAGGAAGTCCCAAGCTGATGTCGATTGGTCTGCTGCATACGGTGGGTTGGTGAGAAGCTGAAATCGTTGGCAGTAACACCTCTCGTGGTTGTCATTCCCATGGACGACACTGCAGAACTGCATCACCCTTAGGAGCAACCCTGGCTGAATTTAGGGACGTGCTGTGTTGCACAGGGGGCTTAATGACCGCTGTGGTCATTCAGAGGTCCTGAAGGTAAAGGTCTAAAAGAGCCATGCTCTGATAGAAAAGAGAGAAAGTCAAGTCTTGGCATTTGGGAGCTGAAAATGCCGCCTCTAAAGAGCTGGAAAATTTGGAAGGGCAAGCGCTTCTTGGCAGTTAGAAAGTAGTTTGCAGGAATTTAGGTTCACTGTATGTATTTGCAGTTTCAGTGGGATCTAGTAACTAACATTGGCACAATTTTAATGATTTCAGTCTAAGGGTAGCCAGCTTTCTGGCACTTCAAACGGGTACCAAGCAAGAAGGCAATGGAGAGGGTACCCTATGTCTGTGATTGCCTCCAAAAAATGCCCTTTGCTGTTATTAAATCTTCTGTGCATTACTACCCCAGACTATAAGCACCAGGCCATTCTGCTTCTGCTAGAAATAGCATTCTTGCTAGATCTCTTCCTGCAGGAGCAGAAGGTATGTTTTCTGGCACATCTGTATCCATACCTGTGGATCTTATTCATACAGAGCATGAGAAAATGCTTTCCCATGCTTGACCTGTAGACCTTTGTACATGGGACAATGCACATGCATTGTGTAGTCTTATTTTTCAGGTTTTTTATGCTTATATATACCCTGGTAAAAGTGTCAATACATTATCTCAAGTTACTGTGAAGTATAATGATATAATAGTATCACTGCGAATGTGACGAGTCATACATATGTACATTTAAGATGTAATTCAGTAGCGAACATGAAGGTTGTTGCACCTATTTACAAGTAACGAGGGAGGGCAGACTCTGTAATAGGTGTTTGCAGGGATGTTCCTTGGTCGGTATGTTCTGTACAGCTTCTCCTTTTTCAGCACGTAGATGATGGAGCAATTAGTAGCGATGCAGAGTTAGATAGCCTCCGTCTTCCATCACAGTTTATTACTTCGTTTGTAGATTAAACAGAAGAGGTTCACAGTGTGTTTTCCATGTAAAGCAGTTTAGCATTTTATGTTTCTCTGTCAGACACAGTGAAAAAAACAGTTGCAGAAGCTGATACATGTGTATGTAGCTATGGCAGAGTTGTGATATCTTTTTGAGAAGTAGGGTGTGAACATATAATTAAAGACTACGGGATACGTTTTACACTTTGTGGCTAAGGTTTAAAAAAAAAAAAAAAAGTAGCTCCTCAGTTCTGCATCTCCACAGTGGAGAAGCTTGTTCTGAAGGAGAGACTGGAGGGTTTTTTTTTTTTTCCTAGGAGGACTCCTACGTGTACTAGAAATAGCCAGGGTGCAACATGCCCTAGTTCCATCCCCTGCACGAGTGGCAGCACGGTGAGGACGATGTGGGAGCAAGCCAGCTCCGTAGCCACTGGCAGCGGGGGAAGCCGGCAGCGGGGCGAGCTCCAGCTGCTCCTCCTGCACCCACAGCCGCGTAAACAGGACGTGCTCGCACACAAAAGGAAAGTGTTTACATTGTCTTTGCTGTTTCCTGAGTTTCCAGAGGAGGGGAGAAGCGGCAGGAATAGGGACGGGGCGGTGGACGTCCTTACCTGGGCTCTGCCACTCGCCAGAGTGGAGCAGAGATGGGGTCCCTGCTCCTCCACGCTGCCCGGGGCCCTCCGTCCCGCCTGGCACGCGGCAGCGGGGGTTGCGCTTGGGTTGATCGAAGCACCAGGGACCGTCCTACCCTTTTCCCGAGACACAGCCTGAGATTAGGCCTTCTGCCGCCTCTGTCACGCATTCTTGGAGGAATTAGGAGCACCAGTGTTGTGGGGCAGTTTCACCTTTTAGGATGTCTCGGCATAAGGGGCAGTGATCTGTCTTCCTGTGCGGGGAGAAAAAAGCTATAGGAAAATGCAATTTTATCCCCTCAAAAGTTGGCAGGCGATGTAGGCAACTGCAGTGTCTGAAATTCTGTTTTTTTACACTGAGTAGATTTCAAGTTGTGTCCCATTAAATCAGACCTTAGGATCCTTTAAGTACACTCAGTCCTTAGGATCCTTTAAATACACTTGCGTGATTATGGCTAACCCAGTATAGCTAAAGCTGCTTTATTAATTACATAGACATGTTGGGTTGTAACCTGCTAAAAATATCAGTGCTGATAATCTTGGTCACTTCTTATTTTCAGCACGGCTACATTCTTTGTACGGACTGTCGAATCACTGTGCTGTAGATGGACCAGGGCTATCACAGGCAGGGCTTTATTATTCCAGCAAAGGTATTTCTTTGTTATTTCAATAGGAAACAGAAGATAGGCGATAAGCTAACAAACTCACAATGGGTGGAAGTTCATTAAAAATATATGTCCTTGTTGTATGTATGATGTATTTAGATGTTAAGCCCTTTGGAGCAGCAGGTGTTTGTACAGTGTCATTACAATGGGGCCTCGCGTGTCACCGGATTTTCAGTGCTGATGGTAATCAGAGATGACTTTTTGGCATGCCAGCAAGTTATGTGGGGTCAGGGAGCTGGTAGCTGTGTACAGAGAGCACATAGCGTTGGAGACGGTCCCTTGCCTCCCGGAGCAATGGGAGTCGTCACTCCTGCCGTGTGGGTTGGATGGCAAGCTCAAGCAGAAGGGGCAAGTTGTAGGTGCTGTAGGAATTGGGGTTCAGGGGTTTTGCATATCCTGCCTCTCTGCAGAACCGGGCTCTTCCCCTCCTCCTCCGGGAGAGAGGAGGGCGGCTCTCAGGTGTGACAGCATTTACGTTGCTCCTGCAAACGCTTCGTCTCATTGGCGATATTTTTGTTGAACTGAGGTCTCTAGGCAGCTGTCTGTAGTAGTTAGGAGTCTGGATGGCATGCCACGCCATGCCGTACCTCGAACAAAGCAATCCTCACTGGTTTCGGAGCAGGCCAAACTGCAGGGGTGTTAAAATGTGACCGGGCAGGGGACTAGAACAAGCACCTTCCATGCAGAGGCAAGTGTGTTTCTTCTCAGCAATCTGTATGTCAGAGGTAGTATGTTGCTGAAATTATTTTCAAAACACCTTTTTTTTTTTTTTTTTTCCTTTTAAAATAAATATTGCATTAAGCAGCGGTCTAGCTTCGTAATACACAAGTAGGTCAAAGTGCTGTCATGACTGTCTTGCCACCTACAAATACAGCTTAAAAATATGTCGAGTGCCAAATGAAACAGGAAGAGCAGGTGATGCGCTCCGATTCCTTGACTTGTGCTTAAGTCTGGAGCACAGACTAGCAATGGCATGATAAAACATCACCCCCCTGGCTCTTGACATCGCTTTCACTGGCAGCCGTTTCAGGCAGGTGATGGAAATCTGGAGTGTTTTCCAATGCTGTGAGCAGGTTGAGTCAGGTGCTGGGCACATCGTGCATTTAACCTTCGCAGTATTGGAAGCGCGAGAGTTTGCGTCTGTAAAATGGTTGCCTCACCCTCAGTTTGAGACATCGTGGAGGTAAAGCAGCAAGGTTAGTGACTAGCTAGGCGCACAGGGGTACCATTACGATCATCCCCCTGGGTCTCCTGACCTAAGGAAGCGTGAAAAGCCTCCGAAGTTTGCTGACCTGCAGATAATTTTTTTAGGAAATAAGCAGCTGCTAAAAGTGCATTGAAAAGACACTATAGCTTGTTGAAAGCAGCCAGCCCGGTACATTTTTTTTTGCTTGTTAGTGGCGAGGGGCCCTGCCTCCACCGTTTCCCCTGGTCGCTCCTGACTTTGTGGGAGCAGGGTGGGAGCTGGAGAATCGCGCCAGGCACCCATGCACTTGTGAGCCTCCTCGGGAGGCCAGGGCTGCTTCCCCCTCCGCTGACAGCCGGGGCGCTGAGGGTGTGCACCCTGCCTGCGGCCAGGCCCTTCCTTCGTGGCTTCCGCACGGTCTCCAGTATTCTGGCACGTAAAATATCCCCTCCGCGTGTTCTCACGCGCGTGAGGACGTGTGCGCGGGAGGAGGACGGCCAGGTTTGTGAAAAGCAATCGCCTCCCAGGCAGCGTGAGGATACATTTGGGATGCTGTCCCGTTTGGGATGCTGTCCCGTACGAGCTGCGCCCAAGCTTAGTTAGTCCGGTGCTGGCCGTCTGGGCGAACTGCTCTCCCCGTGTCACCTAAAAGCGCGATCACGCTTTCCTTTCTCTTGACAGATAATCCTGAAATAGCCGGCAGGAGCGGTTTGGGATGCTGTCCCGTTTGGGATGCTGTCCCGTTTGGGATGCTGTCCCGTTTGGGATGCTGTCCCGTTTGGGATGCTGTCCCGTTTGGGATGCTGTCCCGTACGAGCTGCGCCCAAGCTTAGTTAGTCCGGTGCTGGCCGTCTGGGCGAACTGCTCTCCCCGTGTCACCTAAAAGCGCGATCACGCTTTCCTTTCTCTTGACAGATAATCCTGAAATAGCCGGCAGGAGCGGAACGGAGTGTCACGAAGCCTCCCTGCGGACGGCCAAGCACGGCTACTGTACATACTACCCCGTCTCCTCCTCTCTAGAGTTGCCACAAACTGCATGCTAAGTCAAGAATTTGTTCTTACGGACAAATCACAAACTCGAAAAAGCTAGTGCTGCTATGTCATATATGAATATTAAATATGGTATGCTTACTATACTCCAACCTAAAATAGTTAACTACCTGATACCAGCTGTGATGTTTCAAGACATAAAGGGTAACATTTAGTTTTAAAGATTTTCTAAGCATAGTTTAATTCTTGCAAATATTGTCTTTTCTCCATAACTATACCTAAAGGAAATGGTCCAGTCAAATTAGTCTCGTGAGATTCAGTGTTTATGAATCTTTTGAGCTCAGCAATAATTAAGTTGTATCGGCTAAAAACTTACCCCAGTTGCAGGTTTAATTTTCACCCGAGCTATGATTGGGGTTTTTCTTCTCGGTTAAAAAAAAAAAAAAAATCTTGGTTTTGCTCCCCTAGCGAGTTGATTCCAAGACAGAGGAAGTGAAACGCAGCCCAGTGTCCTGCACATCACCCTGCCAATCTGAATATTTTTAGCCAGAAGTCCAAAGTAAAGCACAAATTCTTTTGATGCACATGGTTGGTGTTTGACTTGTATGGAGAAGTTGCATTTGAATCATAGCAGAATAGCAGAAGAAAATTAAAAGATTTTGCACAGTATGAACTTCATACCCCTTTCAATCCCCAAAAGAACAAAGTCTTGAAAATATTATTTTACAAGTATATTTATAATGTTTTTAAAAGAGACTTTGCAGAAGTGCCTAAATTTTGTCACATCAGACTTGATGAAAGTGAGCCTGATGCCAACAGTCAAATCTCACCAGAAGCGAATAATCTTTCAAACTCATAGTCAGGTTACCAAAAAGACCCAAGCTGTTAAGAAGTAACTTCTAGAAGTGTAAAATCAAACAAAAAAAGACCAAACGAAAGAAAAGGCGAAAAAGAAGGCTGTAGATGAAAAGATTTGTATGATACTCTAATTTAATTAAAATTCAGTTGAGTCACTGAAACTTCATAGGTGACTTTAATCTAGACTATTAACTGAACACTAAGAATGTAGAATGAGATTCAGTTTAATAAATCGTTACTGTATTTGCATTTTTTTTTAATTGGATTGTACGATTGTAACCAGATTAGAGTGGAGAAAAAAATAGTTCTTTTAATTGTTTTTCTTTAAAAACATATTTTATGTCACAAAAGTATGAAGATATCTTTAATACGATTATATACATATTATATATACATACATATATATGGATGAAGCAGATTTTAATGTTGTTTACTTTTTTAAATACTTTGTTGATTTACAAGGTAATTCTATATGTATAATTAAAATTTCATTTGTTTGATTTGAGATTTGTTTCAAGCACTATTGTACCAAATATTTCATATTTCACATTTTATATGTTGCACATGTATCACATAAATGACATAGTTTTTAAATTATTGTTTAAAAAAACAAGACAGCTGTTATAAGTGGATATTATGTATAATTGTTTGCAGCATAAGTTTTCTATGTGGACATTATTAGTGATTGCAGTATTTTAACTTAACCTCTTCAGATTGATTGTAAACTATTTTAAACTTTGGCAGCACTGCCTGTTCTGAACGACTGAAGGCACTAACCATATAATTATTTGTCTAGGAAATTATTTTCTGGGCTAAATCTTGTTTGTCCGATGTCTAATTACTATCTATTTATATATAAAGCTGGAGATTTGATCATCCGAAAGAAAAAAATAATCACGATTCGATTGTAAAATTAACATAGTGCTTGTAACGTTGCGTTAGTTTTAATTTGTGGAAAAATAATGTATCTTAACTTGTTACTTTAGCAGTTAAGGTATCACCATTATATACTATTAAAACACTAATATTTGTAGACTTTCTCAGTCATTATAACTAGGTAGTTGACACTGCAACTTGCCTATATCTGTCAAAGTTGTTTTTATTTTTTTATAATAGTTAATTTAGGCATTTGGGTAGCTTATTGTATAATACTAAATGGTAAATTATCCATGTCGTTTAAATATTTTATGTAGATAACTCTTCAAGACATTGTTTTGTGTGAACTTTTTATGTTTAGAAATAACTGTTATTCTATGTTTTTTACAATTAATCCAATATTACTATTTTTTGCCCATGGATGACGAAGCTTCAGATACATCAGGTCTTTCATCCAGATAAACTGACAGACAAAAAGAGAAAATGTATTTTTAATAAGAGATCCACTTTCCGACTTTATGACTTTGTAATATTCCTGAAAATTGTACAAGTACAAACCTATGCTAACAGTAAGGAGGCAATTACAGAGATGTGCAAATACGTGTACAACAGATTCTGCATTTTATTTATTTATAAAGTAATTTTATAGACTATTTCAAAATTTGGGAAGATCTAAAACTATTTTTCTGTATAAATATTATTTGCCAAAACTTTGTTTATATTTAAAAAAAAAGTCTAATGAAAATGATTAAATTTTAAATGCTTTGTTTAATTAAAAAAAAAAAACACACAACAAATAAAACCCCCTAAAAGAACCATGAGATGGGCCAACACAGAGACAGTGAATACTGTAGCTGGGACACAGTTTCAAGTTACTTGAGATGTCTCAGTGTTTCTTTTCTTCAAAGGATACAGCACCTCACCAAAATACCTTTTTGTTTGCCTCTCTCATCCAGCCTAATTGACGACGCGTATGATGAATATTTCGGTAACAGTTAAAAGAACCCCTCCATTCACTCTTTTTCAGCATATAACTACTAGTGGTCTGTTAAATAGCCATTCTATTTCTGTTGTGACGTTAAATTCATTCACCCAATGTACAACCACTGAAATAAAAAGAAGCATTTTAAAATGAGAGCGGAGTCGGGGCGATCCTTTCTTGTGGCGCGGCTCTGGGAAGAGGGGCCTGGGGTAACGAAAATAGTCAAAGGAAAGTGGAGGAGTCTTTAACAAGTATATAATTTTTTTAAAATTCTATTTTATTCTTTTTTTTTTTTTTTCCCTTAGTTTGCATGTTCAAGTAACAAATCCTTAAGTGCAGTCCCCTGGTTCGGGGCACGCGCAGACGCTGTATGAGGAAGCGCGTACCCTTCTCATGCTGGAGACGGTGTGCCGAGGACGCCGCGCTGCACGGCTTTAGCCGCAGTCAGTCATTTCGTGCCCTTTCTGCCTGCCCGTGCCGCTGGCGTGCAGGCAGGCAGCGGTTATCTCAGCGGTGTGGCTCGCAGATGCCTCACCGTTAGGGGATTTTTTTCGCCGGCGCATCCTCTGCATCCTCTTTTCTTGCCTACGTCTCGGAGAGTGTTACACCAGCCAATAATCCCCGTTGTCTGTCTACCTCTGGGGAGAGCAGCGTCGCAGAGGAGTTGCGTGCCCAAGGGCAGAGATCGCACGGCAAGCTAGTGGCAGAGGAGGGATTAAAACCTCTGCCTTGCAGCTCCATGGTTTCTTCAAGCGATCTTCTCTGATCTATCTTTTTAAATGCTTTAAAGAAAGGAAATACAACCCCTGCAGGATCAAGAAGAGTTTGTGTCATAGAGTTGTATACATAGCATCAGCACGGGGCTGGTTTGAGAGGAGCCCAAGGTCACAAGTGATGTGGAAAACCACCAGGTCGACCAGCCCATTTGGATGTATCACCCCAAACGTACCGAGCCAGAAGCCTGCCGAGAACCAACGTGTGGGATGGAGAGGAGGTACGGGGATGACTTGCAGGGACAGAGAAGGACTGCAGCATTAGAGGGCTGCAAGGGCACTGTCGAGCAGAAGCAGCAAATGATTCAGATTCAGCTCCTAATGATTCGGGAGTAGAAACCCTCTCTCTTCACACTGTCTTATGTTAAACCCCACCCTGGACAGTTGTCAGCTGCCAAGAAAGGTCAGGACATGTCGATTTTCTTGTCTAAAAGCTGCTTTGTTTCTTGTCAACTTTGGCACTTTTTTGGCAGTGGTGAAGCCCTCGTGGGAGCCCTGAGCTTTCAGGAGCCACACCAAACCAGCAATCTCCGTACACCTCCGCGTGCAGAGCGTACCCCCTTCAGATAGCATCAGCTTTTCCAAAATGAAGCAAGCGCCTCCTAGAGAAGAGGCTTCAGAAACCTTTGGCGTTCTCCCCGCCACACGCGTCCTCATGGGCAGACGGTGGCCACAGCTTTGGTGCCAAAGGCGGCTCCCCCGCAGGGAGCATCCCTCGCCCCAGGCCAAGCGCTGCAGCAGCATCGCGTTGCTCAACATCAGCCTTCTCTCCAGCAGACCGGCCAGGTCCACGCTCACGGCGTTTGGCTGTGTATCTCCTCTGGCCCCATGTAGTGTAGCCATGACCATAAGGCATAATTATTGTTTTCAGTATGTTTTGCTTGGTTTTCAGTTCAAAAGTCTGAAGTCATCCAAGGGCTGGGTGGGTTTTTCTGCAGCCCACTGGAATTAATAGGATGAAACAAAAGGGGATGTGACATTTGAGGGATCAGAGCCTGCTGGGATAACTTTGCATGTTTGTGTACAGCAAAGGAAGCCAAAACTGGTTCAGCCTTGTCCATGCTGCATTTTGGGAGTGTCTGTTCAGCAAGTTACCGAAACAGCAGCTGGGTTTTGTTTCAGGAAGAGTTGTTTCACTCCAGAAGAGAGCTTAGGAACAGCCCAACATTTCTGTACTGTGGGTGATGATGGAAAAAAGGACTTGTGGGCAAGGCCTCTTGACAGTGTGGGCATTGAGGCTTCTGCTAGTGGCATTAATTGCATGAATTCACGGGACCCAAAAAAGTGCCTTTCCTGGAATGGCTGAAAACTTTCTTTGGCATCTGATCATATGCATACCATGATCTTTATGCCTGCAGATATTTCTCTAGCCAAGCCTTTTGTCGAGTAACCTGCCTTTTTAATGTCATCTAATTGGCAGTTCTGGAGGCTTTTTGCATGGGTCAAGATGATTTTTATTGCTGGATTTGGGAGTGTGTGTGAGGGCAATACCAGCTCAGCTGTTGCATTAAACCAGTTACTATTGCTGGATGTAATGTATTGTATTCGAGCAAATAGTGATAGGTATAGAATATATGGTTAGATTATCTGTGAATGAATAAATTACAGAAATGTCTTCTAAATTCTTCTAATTCTGTAATTATAGAAACCATAGAAATTGTAGGAAATAAATCACATGTTTCATTACATGAAAATACCTTCTGCTGTAGCAGGGGAAAAAAAAAAAAAACACTGAGAAATGTGAAAGGAAGATACTGGTGTGAGCTGCTTATGCAATGTTGTGTTGTAGTTGCATTATTTCCACCAAAGCTTCTTACAGAGTGAGGAAAATACACTTGGCTTTATGATTTAGGAAAATCACTACAGGAAAGACGCCCTGCTCCTCTCATCTTCAAAGAGCTGGATTTGGATGCTGCTTTTAAGAAAAACAAATTCTGGTGAGTGTCCTCCTTAGTCTAATTGTCACAAAACAGTCAGGGTGTAGCCTGCGTGGTGGGTGGTTCCTCAGAGGGTCACCGGACCAAATAGATGCCGGAATGTGGTGGTGATGAGGGCAACCACAATGGTGTAAGGTTCACCTTGTAGGAAGGGATGGTCAGGCAGGTTCGTGCCGATGCTAAACCTGCGCTGTGTTTACATTTGCCACGAATGGTTCCCCTTTTCACGGAGGGACAGAGGGAGGAAATGCTTTTATTTCCTTGTTTTATGGTTGTAGTCACCACGCTGAACGCCAGCGGAGCACATTCAGAGATGCTGAAGTGGGTAGCTGACAGCACAGCTCAGGACTGCAAGCGAGTTTTTCACACTTGGAAAGCTGTTAGGGTGGGATCCAGCTTTCTCTCTGTAGCTGTCACGTATCGTTTCAGACACTGCAGGGTACCCACTTGGCCTAAAGCTGCTGCTGTGGAGCAGCACAGGTCTGGGTGGGTATCTTAAGTCTGCCAGCCCCATGCAGGTGTCTCAGATGCTCTACAACACCTCAAATGAGTTCAGTCAATGAACCCCACCTGTTTTCACAAGGGACCGTCAATCATAACAATGGTTTTGATGGATTTTAAAACACCATCGTGCACAAGAAATGACAAAATCATGAGATTGGCTTAAATGGTCTAGTAGTTAAAAACCCTGTTCTTCTCTGTAGGTACTTGGAGTACATTCAGCTTGCATATTTAAGCTTTTTCTCTGCTACCATGATGCCTAGAAATGTTTTCCATGTGCTCATGGAGGTAAAGTTAAAGAGCAGTTCATAAAATTCTTAAGAAAGTCATAAAAACTGGCAACACCAATTTTACAGATTTGGTGAGTTCAAGATGTTCTTATCTCTCACCATGTTTAGGGAGGAATGAAGAGAGAAATCATAGAATCATAGAATGCTTTGGGTTGGAAGGGACCTTGAGAGATCATCGAGCCCAACCCCCCTGCAGTAAGCAGGGATTGAACCTGTGAACTTGGCATTATTAGCACCATGTTCTAGCCAACTGAGCTAACCCAGCATATGGTAAACCTTTGGCATGTAATATAATTTCTTCAGGCTTAATCTTCACATAGGCTTTATTCAATTATTATGCCAATGAAGGTGTGATGTTATCAGTGTAACTTAATCTGAAGGCAGTTGCAATGGGATGAACTGTCCCTATATGCAAATAAATCATTCTGTTTAAATGTTTCATGTGAAACAATTGTACCCTACTCTGTCCAATGTAGTTGTGTTGCTTTAATTTCTCTGTCTGTAAGGCTTGATAACAAGCTGTCCTTGGACAGGTGTTAGGTAGAGCCTACACATTCATTTCCAGGCTTAAGATAAATGGTGAAATGCAAGAGTCCTGCTTTGTGTCCTTCCTCAAGCTGAATACGTCAAAAGAAAAGCTACGTAAGCAAGCACAAGTGAACAAGGACTCTCATGGAAAAAAAGTGATCAGCCTTGAGCAGATTTCAGTAGGCTTTCTAACTACAGGATGTGACAGAATGCATTTTCCCTTTCTATTGACCTTAAAAGTGATACCTTTATACTCATTCTAGAGGAAATAAATGAGGTTGAACTCTTCTAATAAAGAATTGGTGCCCTCCTCCATGAGTGTGAACTTGCCAAGACCAATTGCTGGAGAAGTCGCTGGGCTGATGGCACTGACCATTCCTCAGCTGTTGTCTCAGAGTCCATGGTAAGTGCTTACAGGTGACAGTAGAAGCACACTGGCAACCCCTCCTGTGGCCTATGGACTTTTATTTCCCGTTAATTGGATGACGGAAGAGGCTGAACTTCTTCAAGTCCAATTTTATTTGTAGTTGAGAAGGCTCCGGGAAGACCTGATTGTGGCCTTTCAATACTTGAAGGGGACTTATAAGAAAGATGGGGACAGACTTTTTAGCAGGGCCTGTTGTGACAGGACAAGGGGTAATGGTTTTAAACTAAAAGAGGGTACATTTAGCCTAGATATAAGGAAGACATTTTTTACAACAAGGGTGGGAAAGACTGGAACAGGTTGCCCAGAGAGGTGGTAGATGCCCCATCGCTGGAAACATTCAAGGTCAGGTTGGACGGGGCTCTGAGCAACCTGATCTGGTTGACGATGTCCCTGCTCATTGCAGGGAGGTTGGACTAGATGACCTTTAAAGGTCCCTTCCAACCCAAACCATTCTATGATTCTATAATTCTATACAGAGAGCCTGTAAGGCAAATGAAACCAAATTACATGAAATTGTCATCCAGCTCTGCACTTCCTTACTTGCAGCCACTCTATTTGCCAGATGTAGCACAGTATATATATATGGATTGCCTAAACAGTGGCAATAGTTTTCTTCTGAACATCCTATTCTGTGCGCAGGCAGAACACAGCAGAAGTATGCTTTTACCACACAAAATTCATGCTTTTTGCATTCAGC